TATACTGTGCACTCAATAGGATGTTATGGTTGCTTTAAAAAGAAATCGTTCGTGGAATTCAGAGATGTTAATATTGGCAAACTTGCTATCGGTGTTAAATATCCGGTTATAAACAGGTTATCAGCTTTTACGAAAAGGTCAGATCGACATAATTTTCAAGGTCGAAAGCAGCAGTTGCAATCCAATTTCAGAACAATTACAGCGATTCATTTTGATATTGTTTGGTACCAGCACTTGATCTATTCATTCATCAGCGACCAAAGTGCGACAATGTACTCATGCAAACGTCTTAAGTTGATTGCTGTCAATAGCATACTTTGCTCCTAAGACAAGGTGACCGCAAATTTCATTCCAGTTGGCAATGACCTATTCTTGGAAACGCTCCGGTACGCTACGACACGCGAAATGAATACCTGTTCTGTACATAATATTGTATGTTTATTACTTTTCAATTATTTTCTGTTCATAAAAAAATACTCGTAAAAGCCTCGATTGTAAAGAGACAAATTTTTTAAAGGGAAAATTTAAAAAAAAAATAAATCTATAATTGTTTTGTAAAAATCAGCAACTGGTTATCGTTTAGCATCCTTGGCGTCTTTTTTAAAGACTTTCTTTTTACTCGCATTACCATCGTGTTTGTCAATCGTAATGTTTTTGTTGACACACGTGTCATTTTCGCTCAGTTTATCGTATCGACGCATTTGAATTGAGTCAACATCTCGTCTGCTTCGTTTAGTGAACGGCGGCGGGATCTTTTTTTTAAAAGTGTGTTTGGGAGGGGGTAGCGTAGTTGATATGAGAGCTGTGGGATTTGGTTGATTGTCTAAATACAAAAAGTAAATGCGTCTTCCTTTTGTCGATAATATACAGATTAAAATTTTAATACTTAAAAGTAGTAAATAAAAAATGTGTAATTTTTTGAAAAAAAAAAAAAAGAAAGGCTTTCTATCAAAGACGATTTTAAAAGCGCTAAAAAGTAGAAAAATAATTTTAAATTTCTTAAATGAATTATACATGTGGGATTTGGTTGATTGTCTAAATAAAAAAAGTAAATGCGTCTTCCTTTTGTCGATAATATACAGATTAAAATTTTAATAATTAAAAGTAGTAAATAAAAAATGTGTAATTTTTTGAAAAAAAAAAAAAAGAAAGGCTTTCTATCAAAGACGATTTTAAAAGCGCTAAAAAGTAGAAAAATAATTTTAAATTTCTTAAAATGAATTATACATTTATAAAAATAAAACATGTTCAAGTTTCTTCTGCATTTTGTTCCAATCCTTCGGCTACATAGACTGCTGATCTATGCTTCTGTTTTTAAACTAATCTTTGATAGAAAGTCTTTTTCTTTTCTTTTTTTTTTCTTTTTTTGGTTTAAGTTTTAAAGCAAGATAAATTCACATTGTATAAATAACCACCGTGTAGCTGTTACGCTATTGATAACGCCAAGTATTGAGCTAGACTCTATCTGTGTTACAACGGCCATGAATCCTGAACTTTTCCCTCTAAACTAAAATGTTCTTGGACAAAGTGGTGAGTTGGCGGGGAAATGTTTCCCCCCGCACGCTGTAATTAAGAGCGCATAACTATTAATTGTAGCTCCAACTTTCCAATCCCACAAGTATAATTCAATGAAGTGAGATACTCTACTTCAACATTTTCCTTCAAAATTTGATGAAATATAAAGTGAAACTTTCCATAGATTTCTTTCACTTGCTACGTTTGCGCACCAAGATGTGCTCAATAAAAGGAAGTGATTTTATGACCGGCGTCAGAGGAAGAAAAAAAGAGGGAAAAAAAGCAAGATTGAGTTATGTGGGTTGTGTCAAAATACGTCACTTAGGTGGGCGGAGTCAAGTGGCTGGCTCTTGAGTGTTTTTGACTGCCTCTCTCTGTTCAAACAATAAGCGATTAAAAAAAAAGTTAAATTAATCAGGACGGTGAGTGAGAAGGACAGCCATGCAATCAATTAATATAGCGTTGAACGATATGTTTTAGGACAGGGTAGGTAGGCTGCCACATTTTGTTCAATCTCCCCTGCTTAATTCAGCCACCCGAGGACGGAAAGTTGAAATCTTGAACTTTGATTCAAACTTCATATGCTTTATCCACCAAACATTGGGTTCTCTTTGGACGCCGACTCTTAATTATATTATAATTATACATCTCCGACATTTGAAGTCAAACTGTTATCTTAATCTGTTATATATTTGTTTGCTGTGGATCGTAAGTAGTGGATAGAAAGTTCCGATGAATGCCTTCATATATATATATATATATATATATATATATATATATAGGGCCTATATTTAAACGCTCTAAGTTTTACTTCCAATGTTGAGACGTACGAGCCCGAATCTTCGACCCCAGCTGACCAAAAGCCGATTAGTAGAAGCTATTACTAAAACACCATTATGAAGTATACACCAATCAATTTGTCGTCTGCTGAGATCTATAGATCTATACTTTTTACTCTTGAAATGCCATTGTGGCCTTGAACATGGGAGAAACCAAAGAACCCTCTTGTGATCACGATCTTCGTGCTAAGAATATCAGCTATTATTATTATTTTATTTTTTTTAGCTTATATCCGTGTACTTGCAGAAGCGTGCGGGTTCAGCGACTATGCTACTACTTATCACCCGTTTCCGTCTATAATAACGGTTCCCCCCCCCCCTCACCCTCCTCTTCCGCATACAATAAAGTAATATAGTGCTCATAAAAAAATCGGGCAATGGCAACGGTAAATTAAAATACTATTTGAATGTTCATCAACGTCCAATTTAAAAAAAAAAAAATTTTTTTAGCAAACATGAACTGTACCGGAATGTCTCCCAGTCATTTTGTTAGAGGTTAAATGACTTTGTCGTCAGTTGTTACTGCTCAGTCATTCCCTTGCACTCTAAGGCAGACACAATCATCTAATTCGACCCACAGGGCCGGCCCGACGTTTGCTGGCGCCCTGTGCAAGCTTAACTTTGGCGCCCCATTTTAGTATAATCCTTAACGGAAAAAAAAAATAGTTATTCGGTAATGAGTTCATTACCTATGTTGTTGTTTTTTTTTAATAAAACAATGAACAATAACATTTTTTTAAAAAACTTGTATGAGAATATATATTTTTATTGCACTTTCTATTGTTCTTTCATGGCGCCCACATGCAATGCTTTTCCCTATTCTGGAAGATCGTTGATGGCGCCCTGAGCACACGCCGCCGTGTACGAAAAGTTACTTTTTTTTTTTCTTCATTCTTCTGATAAGCTTCTAAGAATTATGTACATCTAAGAGAGTTGAAAAACAACAAACTATATGTTGTCTTGTTAAGAGCTGATAGCTGCTGTCTGATTAGATAAAACGAGACATTTTAAAGAACAAGTATTCGGAATGGCAACTCAGTGACATGTCCAGATCTCTGTACCAAGTGATACGTTGTAGCTCTTTTTTTTTTTTTTTCCTGTTGGTTTGGGAGACACCATTAAGCCAAATTGATTCAGGTCCTGTCACCTGTCCTTCTCCCCCTGATTATTTGTATTTAAAGAACAAGTATTCGGAATGGCAACTCAGTGACATGTCCAGATCTCTGTACCAAGTGATACGTTGTAGCTCTTTTTTTTTTTTTTTCCTGTTGGTCTGGGAGACACCATTAAGCCAAATTGATTCAGGTCCTGTCACCTGTCCTTCTCCACCTGATTATTTGTATTTACCGCTTAAGGGAATGCCCCGTTTTTCTCCCACATTTTGCTCTTAATTCTGTTTTCAAACTGTTTGATATTTATAATCCAAAACCCAAATATCTATTTGTAGAACTATGAAGTTTTTTGGAAGTTTTGCTGTATTGTTCTCCTCCTTGCTGAAAATTACAGAAAATCTTCAATTTGTTTGATTCCATTTGTTATTTTGATGTTCATCGTTTCCTCATACCGCCATTAGTGTATTTCAAGATGTCTGCCATCTTTACTGTGGGCCTTGGCTCTGATGTTTATATCCGTACCACTGTCTTTGCTAATGATGTTAAGTTTCTGCTTGTCTCTTAGTCTCTCTTGACATTCTCTTACACAGAATGGTTTTCTTAGTCTTGACATTCTCTCACACAGAATGGTTTTCTTAGTCTTGACATTCTCGTACACAGAATGATTTCTTAGTCTTGATATTCTCTCACACAGAATGGTTCTAAGCACCAAATAAAATATCAGGTGATGCAGTAAAATATTTATTTAAACAAGGACATAAAACGGCCCAATTAATCTTTAAAAGAAATTGTTGAAACCTTTTCTGACCCTTCTTGCACCAAATGAATCGTCACATGCTGCAATTTTAAAAAAAAAATTTTCAACTTCTTGGGATATAGCCTTTCAAGGCGAATTCCCTTTTTTTTTCTTTGTTCCTCATATGGTCAGTACTGTGTTTTAGCATATCTATTTAATGTCTGCTTAGCAAGGACCGGCAAAAAGCCAATATCATCAGTTTTAGGTATAAAAGGTTGAGCAGCACTGATTTCAAGGTTTGTTGGGGTTTCTCCTGCTCAGTTAGTCGCATGGTATTGCATCAATGATGAAATGAAGTGTCTATTTAGAAATGAAAGTGTCTATTTAGAAATGAAAGTGTCTATTTAGAAATGAAAGTGTCTATTTAGAAATGAAAGTGTCTATTTAGAAATGAAAGTGTCTATTTAGAAATGAAAGTGTCTTTTTTGAAATGAAAGTGTCTATTTAGAGATGAAAGTGTCTATTTTGAGATGAAAGTGTCATTTAGATATGAAAGTGTCTATTTAGAGATGAAAGTGTCTATTTAGAAATGAAAGTGTCTATTTAGAGATGAAAGTGTCTATTTAGAGATGAAAGTGTCTATTTAGAGATGAAAGTGTCTATTTAGAGATGAAAGTGTCTATTTAGAGATGAAAGTGTCTATTCTGAGATGAAAGTGTCTATTTGGAGATGAAAGTGTATATTTGGAGATGAAAGTGTCATTTAGCTATGAAAGTGTCTATTTATTCTCAACTCTACAGAACACAGGACAAGTGGTTGCAGTGAAAGTGTTCCATGACTACATCACACAGAAGGCAGATGACATCAGGGAGCTGGAGCTTCTGCAACAGTTGAAGCATGAAAACATCATCAGACTGATCACAATAGAAAAAATTGTAAGTTTTGTTTTAATTGTAAGTTATCCGGCTGCTGTGAAAACAGAATGGGGAAAGCTTGAGAAAAGACCAAACAGCACAAAAAAAGGGACACTTGTCCCAAGAGAACACATGTCCAGTCCTCCAAGTATTGCACTTTGCTCTGTATATATTTGAAGTCTCATTACTTTGAAATTAAAAATAATGTGTTTGATCTTTTTAAAATAATCGCTCATGTTCCACCCTCCCACCCCCAAAACAAAAAATCCAAGACCAAGAGAAAAATGTTCACATTTTCTATTATTTTCCCCATAGGATTCACAAATTGCTTTCTTGTGTCTCCATATTAACAGATGCTGATGATACATGGGAACTCAATTTTTCTTTAATATCTTGTAATTTTCTACGGCTTTATTTAGTGGATTCATGCCATTTCCTTATAGGCCTTAAACAAATTAAATCCATTCCCCCCCCCCCCCCTTGTAATAAAGATTTGTAGAGGTGGCGTCATTTTATGTTAAACCATCAACTACTTGTGTGTTGAAATGGAAGACCAGGATTCACGGAGCGGGGTGGAAATTATTTTATATAAATGTATATAAAATTGATGCTGTAAAGACAGGTGGCGTGATAGCCTCTATCATGCACCTGCGGGTGCCCCCCCGCCCTCCCCCAGTGAGTTTAACATATTCCCAATTTCACCTGACTGTAACTTAATAAAGCAACAATTTTTGAATAAAAATATTTGTATAAATCACCAGGGAAATCAATTCATTTATTTTTTTGTTCCTCTATTGGTTTTTTTGTTCTTCCTACAGCAATCAACACTAAAAAATGTCTTGGTCATGGAATACTGTGAGGGGGGCTCACTCCACCACATGTTAGACCAACCTCCTTACTACTACGGCTTGTCAGAGGAAGAGTTTTTGTTAGTCCTCAGTCATGTTGGTGAGTACCCATAGCTCTGTGCACATGTAGAGCGATGTTGGTGAGTACCCATAGCTCCGTGCACATGTAGAGCGATGTTGGTGAGTACTCATAGCTCTATGCACATGTAGAGCGCGTTGAAATGTGTCACTTGTATTTTCAGTTCAATTTAAGTCAGATGAAGTCAGACATACATAAATGTTGTATTGGTGGCAATAAGTTCCCCAATTTTTCTCAGCAGTGGATTTTATCCAATTTTCAGAGGAATTCTCACTTTATACAATCAAACCGTTGATCTAAAATCTTGAGGCGTGTATATGTGTCTAAAATCTTGAGGCGTGTATATGTGTCTAAAATCTTGAGGCGTGTATATGTGTCTAAAATCTTGAGGCGTGTATGTGTCTAAAATCTTGAGGCGTGTATATGTGTCTAAAATCTTGAGGCGTGTATATGTGTCTAAAATCTTGAGGCGTGTATATGTGTCTAAAATCTTGAGGCGTGTATATGTGTCTAAAATCTTGAGGCGTGTATATGTGCATGGCTATTTTGATATTTCAATGTACTCATAAAAAGATGTAACCTAAAAAGGGGGTTGGAAATTGCATTTGCAATTGATTCACAACTAGGCACGGATTCAAAGGTGAGGGGCTAAATGTCACGCGCTCATCTCTGTTGTCTTCCCAAATGTTTAAAATATTAACCTTACAAAAGAACAGTTTTAAAGAATCATTTCTATGCTCGGATTCACTACTGGCTTCCATTAAAAATATTTAAAAAAGTAGAATTTACAAGCATCATAACTGGGTTTAAACAAAAATTTAAAGGTTTCAGAATGAGTTTAATGGACCATTGTAGTCATTGCAGTAAAGTGGTCATTTGTATTTCCAGTGCAATGAAGTGCAATCAACTTTATTATAGTTTGAGACCATTTAAAATTATGACTACTTTCATTTTGTACATTTGTTTTAAGTTACATTAGATATTTTTTGTCAATAAAAATAAAGTAAGACATTAGAAATCTCCCTAAACAATCATATTACGGAGTCACAGTTTGCTTGCAGCTACATGTTTCATTTTGCTTATTTAAAACTTCTTTTCACACAATAAAATGTATTTTTCTGCATTTATTAGTCTTCATCCGACCCAAGTGATCTTTGTGTAAGACAAAGAAAAAGTTTGTGCATTTTTTAAAATCTTCAGACAAGTATTTTTGTGCCATTAATTTTCTTTTAACATAATGCCAACTTTCTGTTGCAGCCAAGGGAATACAGTACTTGCGACAAATTAATGTCATTCACAGGGACATCAAGCCAGGAAACATAATGAGGTAATTTTTCAATAACACTGAACTGCTTTGGATTACTGTGCAACCAATTTTCTATTACTTTTTTTTAAAGTGTTGCTACATACATATATATAGATATGGAAATATTTCCCCCAAATTGTTTATTATAAATGTACATTTCAGGTTTATCACACACACCGGTCAGTCCGTATACAAGCTTACTGACTTTGGTGCGGCCAGGAATTTAAATGAAGATGAAAGCTTTCAATCTCTTTATGGAACAGAGGAGTATTTGGTAACTATCTCTAATATTCTTAGTTACCAGAAATAACCCGTCAAACAATGGCGGTGGCAACAAGAGCCTCCCATCTACTAATGTTACTAGACAAAACATGCATTCAAGTAACACATTTTATAAGAATCCCAATAATTAGTACTAACTTCTCGGCATTGTATTTCGTGGGCCTATTGAACACAGTGTTACATCCTTGCAATGTACCTTGGGAACCACTATTTGTGATAACTAGAGGTTAAAAAAAATAATTGTAAAGCTTGTTATTGGTGTGGTTAATTTTAACCCTATTATCTGAAACCCCACATCTGAACCAAGTATATTTTATTTGCTTATTCATGGGACAACACCCAGCAACGTCAAGCCTTGCAGATGTTCTTGTCAGGATCATTCTAATTAAATACTAAAAATCCCCTTCCAAATAATGAAAGCATGACAACAGCAATGGGCATGTTTTTGTAGGTCAGCATCCTGTTCAACACGTGTGGGCTGTTCTAAGTATTGGCCCACTGCCAATTGGATTAGACAAGACATTGTCCATGTCTGGAATACATTAATGACAGTCACAGATTTCAAGACTGGCCTTGCTATTCGTGAATTAAAAACAAACAAAAAAAATGCTCTTATTATTTTGGAACTCATGCCCGACAATTTTTTAATGAGACACACACAATTTGTGTCAATAAAACAAGGCATGTTAAGCTTTAATTATGGTTACTCAAAATACATATTAAAACATTTCAGCAAATTCCTTCGTCAGTTTGAAAATAAAAATTCATTCTTACATGTATAAATTAAATTGAGAAATTAAAGAAGAAAGACATTTGTCATTGAGTACGTAACTGGCCTGCTTTTTTAAAATTAATTTTAGGATCTACACTCTGTCCTCTCAGAAGTTCTTTTAAAAATGTGAAAGTTTTTCAGCAAGCCAGTAAACGTGAAAGTTTTTCAGCAAGCCAGTAAAACATGAGAGCACCTGTGCCATAAAATGTTATATTTCCGTTGGCTAAAGAACATTTGACAAATTTATTTGGAAATAAACATCTCCATGGTGTCCCCGAGATCTCCCTGGTGTCCCCAAGATCTCCTTGGTGTCCCCGAGATCTCCTTGGTGTCCCCGAGATCTCCTTGGTGTCCCCGAGATCTCCTTGGTGTCCCCGAGATCTCCTTGGTGTCCCCGAGATCTCCTTGGTGTCCCCGAGATCTCCCTGACCCATGGCGAGAACTATAGTGACTTTGCTGGGTTTTTTTTTAAAATCAGAGTTAGCAACCTAAAACTACAATTTGCCACAAACAATTTGATCATTGATGCTGATATGGAGATTGACTTGGGTGGGTACCATTATATTTTGCCACATAACCCAGAGATAGGTTCAAATTTCTAATGGGCTCAGCAAGACAACTAAATCTTGGGGAGGAATAAAACAATGGCTTATTGCATATTCCTTACACTAGTTACACACACCTATAAATAAACAGGTGTCAAATGAAAGTAAGACTTTAATTTAAAAGTATGCCTTGAGCAGCCCATGTAATCTTTTCTGTGCCTACACCAAATCTCACAAATTGAGTCTCTACTCCAATGTTTCAAAGCCAGTGCCTACCCCAAAGTCACAAAGCTAGTGCCTACTAAAAATGTCACAAAGTTTAGTGCCTACTCCCAATTTCAAAAAGTTAGTGCCTACTCCCAATGTCACATAGTTAGTGCCTACTCCCAATGTCATAAAGTTAGGGCCTACTCCAATGTCACAAGTTAGTGCCTACTCCAGTGTCACAAATTGAGTGTCTACTCCAATGTTTCAAAGCCAGTGCCTACTCCCAATGTCACAAAGTTAGTGCCTACTCCAAATGTCATAAAGTTAGTGCCTACTCCCAATGTCACAAAGATAGTGCCTACTCCAGTGTCACAAAGTTAGTGCCTACTCCCAATGTTATAAAGTTAGTGCCTTCTCTAATGCCACAAAGCTAGTGCCTACTCCAATGTCACAAAGTTAGTGTCCACTCCAATGTCACAAAGTTAGGGCCTAATCCCAATGTTATAAAGTTAGTGTCTACTCCCAATGTCACAAAGTTAGTGCCTACTCCAGTGTCACAAAGTTAGTGCCTACTCCCAATGTTATAAAGTTAGTGCCTACTCCCAATGTTATAAAGTTATGCCTACTCTAATGTCACAAAGCTAGTGCCTACTCCAATGTCACAAAGTTAGGTCCTACTCCAGTGTCACAAAGTTAGTGCCTACTCCCAATGTTATAAAGTTAGTGCCTTCTCCAGTGTCACAAAGCTAGTGCCTACTCCAGTGTCACAAAGTTAGTGCCTACTCCAAGTGTCACAAAGTCAGTGCCTACTCCCAATTTCAAAAAGTTAGTGCCAACCCCCAGTGTCACAAAGTTAGTGCCTACTCCAAATGTCATAAAGTTAGGGCCTACTCCCAGTGTCACAAAGTTAGTGCCTACTCCCAATGTCATAAAGTTAATGCCCTCTCCCAATGTCACAAAGCTTGTGCACCATGTCTTAGAGCTTAACTACAGTGGAAAAAAGAAAGCAGTAAAACGATCCTTGCACTAACTGTCAATGGTAAACTTGCTTAAAAATTGAGGCCTGTCAGTTCTTGCTTCCTGTTTTGCGATTGTAAAAAAATCTTCTCAACTTGTTTTAACTAGCACTTGAAATACATTCACCAGCAAAATGTCACCGCGTGCTTCTCAAGGTATATAAAAGATATGACATCACTCTGCACGTACTAGGATGCCTTACATCGGTTAAAGTTTCATGAAATCTATGAATAGATCAATCTAATCTGCTTCAACTGCAAGGTTATTCCCCATGGATACAATCAGACCATTTGTTTTTAAAGTGTGTTGTCTCAAATTGTACACAAAAGGCATCTCTCCAATCAGAAAAATTTTGACTAGGTTTTTAAAGTTGCCCACACATATATATGCTCCCAACTTTGACCTTTGCATTTTTTTCTAACTTATAAAATATTCACACAATATTCTTTTGTTGTTGCAATAAACTTGATTCCTACATCTAAATAAAATATAAGTATCAAGACAATTTCATATGTTAAAAGGAAAATGACAAAGATTTTTGTTTCACAGATGAAGCTGTCTTTAGATTTTATACTCTAGATGAAAGCTCTGCAACCTTTGATCAGAGCTCGGCAACCTCCGATCAGAGCTCTGCAACCTCCGATCAGAGCTCTGCAACCTCCGATCAGAGCTCTGCAACCTTAGATCAGAGCTCTACAACCTTAGATCAGAGCTCTGCAACCTTAGATCAGAGCTCTGCAACCTTAGATCAGAGCTCTGCAACCTCCGACCAGAGCTCTGCAACCTTAGATCAGAGCTCTGCAACCTTAGATCAGAGCTCTGCAACCTTAGATCAGAGCTCTGCAACCTTAGATCGGAGCTCTGCAACCTTAGATCGGAGCTCTGCAACCTTAGATCGGAGCTCTGCAACCTTTCACTCGTGACACACCTCGTTCAGCACAAGAAAAAACATGCATAAATACACAAATTGAATTTGTAGTAAACATTCACAATAGCGTCATAAAATCACAACAGTAAATTGCTACCATATGAGCTGTCTGTACTGGACACATTTCTGTTACAGGCCTGTTTACTCTTACGATTTTGGGGTACAATGTACGATTTTGAGGTGTATAGATTGTATATACTGTATGTTTATTTTTTACTATAAATATAACGTATGTTAACGATTTTGTGATGATATTGTGCAATTTTAAGATTTTGAGGGTAAACAGGTCTGCTGTTATAGCGGAATTTGATAGCTTGTCAACAATGTCCCCTTTGTAGCCACACTGTGTGTTTATGTATCTACATATACTTTGTGCTTTTTCCTCCTCATGGAGGCATCTCTGTGCCCACCTGTGGTGGAACAGCTCTGCACTTGATGAAAGTTGATGTAAATAGGAGTTTTATTCCTGTAATGTGGTTATTTATTTATTTTGTCTGTTCCTATCCAGCATCCAGGGATTTATGAAAAGGCTGTGCTAAAACTTCCAACTATTCAGATGTTTGATGCCAAAGTTGACCTCTGGTCATTAGGAGTTACATTCTTCCACACTGCCACCGGCCAGCTACCTTTCCAGCCTTACGGGGGTCGCAGTAACAAACAGACAATGTAAGTCTGGCACATTTCATTGTCGTTTTTTCCCATAACATTGTCACCACAGAGACATCAACAAACAAAAAAATTGGTCTTAACACTTAATAAACTAAATAAAAAATTTATTGGCTGTAGCTAATTATCTTTTTTATTATCTCCAATGGCATTCTACAGCCAGAAAAATTCTTCTGGTGGCTTACTGCTTCCTATTCTTAACCTCAGTTTTAACAAAATGCTCTTATTGGTATTCTAAATCATTACAAGATAGTTTTCTGTTATGTGAACATGTTGCTACATAGCCTAACTGATTTTTTTTTTTTAAATATATATATATATATATATATATATATGTAAACAAAAGAAAGGATTGAATAGTTGGTATCACACCAATGTAATTTTTTTTTATGTGAACATGTTGCTACATAGCCTAACTGATTTTTTTTTTTTAAATATATATATATATATATATATATATATATGTAAACAAAAGAAAGGATTGAATAGTTGGTATCACACCAATGTACATCACTTGTTACAAAGACATTCACAGCAATGTCCAACACTTGTTACATAGATGTTACCAGCTATTTGCCTAAAGGGCTTAACTGAGGAGGGATCACTTTGCAGTTTCATTTAAAGCATATTGTTTCAATTTTCTTGAGCATTATCATCTGTTGCCCTTATTTAGCAAATGGTTTTCACACTCTGCCACCTAGGCTTTCACACTCTGCCACCTAGGCTTTCACACTCTGCCACCTAGGCTTTCACACTCTGCCACCTGGGCTTTCATACTCTGCCACCTAGGCTTTCACACTCTGCCACCTAGCTTTCACACTCTTCCACCTGGGCTTTCACACTCTGCCCCCCTGGGCTTTCACACTCTGCCACCTAGGCTTTCACACTCTGCCACCTGGGCTTTCATACTCTGCCCCCTAGGCTTTCACACTCTGCCACCTAGCTTTCACACTCTTCCACCTGGGCTTTCACACTCTGCCCCCCTGGGCTTTCACACTCTGCCACCTAGGCTTTCACACTCTGCCACATAGGCTTTCACACTCTACCACCTAGGCTTTCACACTCTGCCCCCTGGGCTTTCACACTCTGCCTCCAGGGCTTTCACACTCTGCCACCTAGGCTTTCACACTCTGCCACATCTTTCAAAAGCTGTCGATCACAGTGTCAGCATCTTTCACTCTGCCATTTTTTCTCCTTGTCGTTCACTTTGAAGATCTCTAGCAGTCAGGATTGATCAGTTATGGCTACCGTTTTCTTTAGCCAAGGCTATTTAATTCGTTTGATAAGTGTTGCAATAAGAGATTTACATCTATTTTTTAAAATCAAAAAATCAAAAACGGGGGTGGGGGGTGGTGTTGGTATCTTTGATCATGAATGGTATTTTTTTACTAATTACTTCTTGGGAATTCCCCTTACTCTCCCCTTAAAAATGAACATCCTCTTTTGCAAATTACCAGCTCAAAAAAAAAAAAAAAATTTGACCTTCAGCAATTGTCTTTGCCAATAGGGAAAATAAAATTTTACAAAAGTGAATTTGTTGTAATGTTAAATTGTAAGAGAAATAGAAAAAATTTTTACTAATTACTTCTTGGGAATTCCCATTACTCTCCCCTTAAAAATGAACATCCTCTTTTGCAAATTACCAGCTCAAAAAAAAAAAAAAATTTGACCTTCAGCAATTGTCTTTGCCAATAGGGGAAATAAAATTTTACCAAAGTGAATTTGTTGTAATGATAAATTGTCAGAGAAATAGAAAAAACCAACACAAAATTGTCACCAGGAAATGGGCTGCCATGAAGATCCGATTCGTCTAATATGACTGATAATATATACAAGGGAGTTGAAGATTTTAAATCGTATTTAGTGTTTGTTACAGGCATAAGTAGGACTGTTATTTTTTCTCAAGGGCTAAAATCAGTACCTAACAATCCAAAATTGAGAACCCCAGCTCCATAACTTGTAGCCATTTCATTTGCCTAATTTCATCAAATTGATGTGTGGTTTGTGACATCAATGTTTTAATTGGCACTTTCTTTTTAATATGCTAACTGTACACAAGATAGTTATTTTTTTATTTTTTTTATGGTGCTTTCTAACTTTAATTATATATATAAGCATTTGAACTCATATTAATTTTTTTTTTTAATTTGCCTTGACCAAATGATGTCACACTGTTTTGGTTTTCATTGAGCTATAAAAATAGACAACTGAGTTGGCATACATTCAAGTCACCTTTAATTTATTTTCTAAGAGATTATCAATAGCCTGGGAAATTTTTTTAAACCATTGGGCTGTGAAGAGCTCAATTGACTCCATGACTCACATGGCCTGTTTGCTGCCACCCAGTGGTTTTCTATAACTTTGTTTATGTGTCACTGACTGTAACATTGGATCCATATTTATGTCTGCTATAAATAGACTGTGTTAACAGATTTGTGAAGAAAAAGATATTAGTGCTATCTATAAAAGTAACTTAAATAGGCCTTTTGGAATGCAAAATAATTATTATTTCAACTATTAACGTAACTTAAAAATAGCTTCTTTTTTTTAAAAATGAATAGCCAAGAAAATTATAAATGTCACCTATAAGTGGAGGAAAACAACAGCTTTTTAAATAGGTACCGTATACAATTGCATAGTGCTGTAGTAGTATAATCTTTCAATTAAAATAACGCTCATTTATTTAAGCCAAATACTTTCCAGTTGATTAGTTACATTTGTGTCAAATTTGTGTAGAGAGTAGGCTGTTGAACCCATGCAGCTTTAATATTTTAAATAGCTTGTGAGGGTAAAGGATTGTGTGGAGGTCTTTGAGATTTTTTTTTTCCTTTAACATTTTATGTGCCAGATTTAATATAGGAATATGTAAATCCGAGTAACGTTGACCTTCAGTTTGTAATGTTCTCAAATATAAAGGATTGGTGGAGGTCTTTGAGATTTTTTTTCTCCTTGAACATTTTATGTGCCAGATTTAATATAGGAATTTGTCAATCTGAGTAACGTTGCCCTTCAGTTTGTGATGTTCACCAATATAACATTAGCTTTGCTTTGCATCATGTTACAATGACTCTCTTAGTGCAGCCTCCAATTTCAAACAAAGTAGCAGACAAACAATGAAAGTTATGTTTTTTTTTATTAAGGCTCGAATTATTTTTGTTTAATTATCTTCTAAAATAACTGTTTTTCTTCTAAAACTATAATTGATTTATTCATATAAAAATGTAGAATTATTTGAAAAGAAATTGTCGTCTTTTTATTCGCATTAATAAAATTCACAGATTAGAGCTTGCAAAGAGTGATTTTTTTTTACATTTTTCTTTTTTAATTTGCTTGCTAGTTAGGATAACAAATTTAAAATGAGCACTGTACACATTATAATCATTGTTCAGTATTGAATTAGGTACTCAAACTTAAACCTTAAAACAAAAACCTATAAAGATTTCATTCTTAACAGATTGCTGTCATTGTGCCAACAGGATGTCTAGTCCTATCTTTGACTCAATCTTCACCAACACTTTCTTTAATTATTTTTACATTTCCTTTTTTTTTTTTTCCTTTTGTTTTTTTTTGTTTTTTTCTCTCTATTCAGAGTGAACAACAATTGGTGCTTTCCTCTGTATTTAGGATCCATCTGAGAGTGGGGAAAGCTTTTCAGCTGCACAATACCTGATATACAATTGACTTCCTTGATGTGTATTGTCATTCTTTTACAATTATAGTCTTCTCAGATCTGCTTACCTTCCTCTAAGACTTGGCACATGAGAACATTGTTAACTTTCACCACTGCTTTCTTAATGATTGTTGCCGTTTTCAAATAATAACACGCTGCCATTGTCATTGGTATAGAATAAACTGTACAGCTGAATGAGACTAATCTTATTTCTCTTTGCTAGTGTAGGAAAGGGGTGTGTGGTCTGCCCCAGGCGGAATGAATTTTTTGTGAGTTTGGGTGTTTCTGTTAAATATTCTTGGCCGGCCCCAGGCGTCACTAACCCTGTGTCTCTTGATACTTTTTTTTTTTTTTTTTTTTTTTTAAAAAAAAAAGAAAGAAAAAAATTCAAACTACAGGTTTTTGTCTTATTTTATAATGAGACATTTAAATAAAAATTCCAGTGATTTAACATTTTTGTTCACTGTAAACATTAATTTGTAGACTTTTAGAGATCACTGTGGTGCACCTTTGTCACCCGTCAGGTTCATTAAGTTATTTGTAAACACTGAAAGATGCATGACTGTCTCTTGTGTCTACTGTTGCCTCCTTTTTCCCAGGTTTGAAATAATCACGCAGAAGGAGAGTGGAGTTATCTCTGGTATCCAGAACTTTGAGCATGGCCCCATCCAATGGAAACGAGACTTGCCGGAAACATCCCCCTTGTCCAGGTGTGTGTCCAGTCAAACAGCTGAAGTCTTCATCATTAAAAAATATCATTCTTTTATCAAGTTATTTTTTTATGGCTGTAGCACCACAGGGATGAAAAAAAGGGGGGGGGGGGATTCATTTAAAAGCAATGTCAAAGTACTAGAGAACAATTCCATTTTTTTAAATAAAGTCAAATAGTAATGTTTTTTTATTAACAATTTTTTTTTTTTAAAAAAAAATAATTTTTTTATAAAGTTATTTTTTTATGGCTGTAGCACCAAAGGGAAAAAAAAAAGGGGGGGGGGGGGATTCATTTAAAAGCAATGTCAAAGTACTAGAGAACAATTCCATTTTTTTAAATAAAGTCAAATAGTAATGTTTTTTTATGAACAATTTTTTTTTTTTGTGTAAAACTCACTGGCACAAAACATTTTGGAAATATTGATGTTATATGTAGAGCTGTTTGGATTGTGAAAAGTTGTTTCAATTTTAAATAAATATGGTTCGAAGATGACTTGAGTAGTTTCAGTTAACCACCTTACTGTTCATTGAGCCAGATGAGACTGGTAGTTTGTATAATTATTTTAAGTTTTTCAACAACAAAAAATTAGTCCCCATAATCTGGAATATTGGTGGTCTGAACATGATCTAAGAATCTACTCCTCATTGTTATGCTTTGATCCAATCTGTTTTGATCGTACCACATTTTCTAGTGGGATATATGATGTGCTGGACAGAGATCGACTTTATTTTTTATTTCATATGGATTTAATCTTTTATGTGTTTTGAATTTAATACTTTACTGACAAGGCAGTGGGTCTTATCACAACAGTTGGGGGGGTGGGGGGGGGGGGGTTTGATTCACGAAATCATGTCAGGAAAACTTTAATTTGAAAACTATCCATGAACTTTTAACCTTTTTTTCTTAAAACCATCTATTTGATGACAAGGCAGTGGGTCTTATCACAACAGTTGGGGGGGTGGGGGGGGGGGGGTGTTTGGTTCACGAAATCATGTCAGGGCAACTTTAATTTGAAAACTATCCATGACATTTTAACCTTTTTTTCTTAAAACCATCTATTTGCAGTGGTCTGAAGTCAATTGTTATTCCTATGCTAGCCGGCCTCATGGAACCTGATGCTGCCAAGATGTTGACCTACGACAGTCTGTTTCGCATGGTTCAAAACATTGAGCAAAAAATTACAGTGTGTGTGTTTTACTTCAACCGATGTGAGAATTTGAGAATATATGCAGATCGGACTACAACGTAAGGGCAAACATTGATATGAACATTAGAACCACTGATGGGCCTTTGTAGAAAATAGAACCACTGATGGTCCCTTTTTAGAAAAGAAATAAGTTGGGTTACCTGAAGCCTTTAATAAACCTGAATCACAAATTTATTTTAATTTCTTAGCTGTCATACATTGTTTTATTCTTCTTAACTGTATTCATCATCATCCCAATTGTTTTATTCTTCTTAACTGTATTCATCATCATCCCAATTGTTTTATTCTTCTTAACTGTATTTATCATCATCCCACTTTATGGTCTTAGTTTTAAGGAAGTCATTAATATTGTATTGACTTTTCAATGCTGTCGTGTTTCTAGTTTACCTGGGCTTCAGGACCAGATAGCCTCACTGACTGACATTGCGGCACGTGACCAGATTTTACTGGTCGGCGGCAAGTGCTTGGGGGACATCATCGACCCCAAAAGTCAACTCAAGGATTATCCCCCCCACCTCCTGCATGACAGCATCTACTTGTTTCAGAAAGAAATGAGTGAAAATGTGCGCCTTCCGAAACCTGAAATTCGTGAGTTGCATGATACGTACTTGATAGTTGCAGTAGCGTTTTGTTGTTTTTTTTCATTGAAATTTCTTTATGAACAAATTATTTTGTTTTACTTTATAGTATTGGGCATTCAAAAAGAAATTTGATGCAAAATTTTAATGTGTTAACTGGAAAAAAAGATTCAGCCAATGTTCCATTCCATCAAGTTTCCGAGGGCGAAATTTCGTTCAAACATTTTCCGGTAACCGCATACTCCATTCAGTTTTTTGTTTTTTTAATTTCTAAGGCTTTAAAAACTCTTGAATCCTTTTGTTCCCTAGTAAATAAAGTATGGTAAAAAAAAATATTGCACAGAATTTCCATATCTTGACATAGATACTTATTTCATTAAGAAGTTTTTGAAACACCAGTATTCGGTTGAAGAAGAATAAAGCAGTTTGCTGAAAGACATTAAAAGCTTTGTTGTGTTGGGGTGTACCAACGCCCCACATATAAAGGCAAACCTTTTATAGTTGGAGTTTTAGAATTAGAGGGCAGGCACTTGAATGCACCACTTTAATGAATAGCTTTTTCAAAAGGACAGAATACAACTTATGCAAGGGCATACATGCGGGTGCTTGCCAATCTCTAGAACATGAAAAAGAATCCTGAGAACATGGACAAAAGCAAGAACATCATTAAAAGTTTAATTATAAATTGCACCCACTCGTTTTAATCCAGCATTCATTTTTTTTTTTTTTGTGTGTGGACTTGTTAACACTTTCAAAAATAATCATCAGTGTCTGTTTTGCACAGTTATATATATTTTTTTAAATCTCCTGAACAGAATAAACCCTTTTAGTTTTGACTCAAGGTGTTTTCAAAAGATTATGAATGAAAATGGAGCAAGTTCAGGGTCTTGTTTGAAAAGCTTCCTTTTTACTTTGAAATGATCTATTCAAAGATATAACTAAAATTTCAAATCTTTTTTTTTTACCTGAGCACATAACACAGACCATGAAGATAAATATGCTTTGCTTTTAACACAGTTGTCAACTTGTATGCATCTTGTGTTTTAGCTGCATGATTCAGAAATCACTGAAAATGATTGGAGAGTATGGATAATTCATTGTAAAGGATTATGCACTGAAACCAATCTTTACTTTCTCCATCCTCTTTTCCTCTCTCCTTAAACAGTTTGCTCTAACGTCACCTATGAACATTCCTTTTCAGTGTGGGTGATTTGTTTGACTTTATCTTCCATTTATACTTTTGGATTTATAGCCATATTAGTATTAGCCTTTTGGTTGCATATAACCTGTATTGATCATTTCACCTTTGCAAATGACAAAGTTTAAATTTTTCTATTTGTATGCAACATGCATGGTTTAATCTTCCCCTCTATCAGGCTGTAAATAATTTTTGTATCCAGTGGTGCACAGTGTTATGTATATTAATGCAGCAATGAGTAAAGCTTCCTTCTTTCTAGTGCAATTAACTAGAAAATTTGGTGGATATAAGAACAACCTGAATATGGTTTGGGAACCTCTGTCTTACAAAACTTACAAAAGCAGCTTGGCACAGTGTTTCCTTTGAGGCATTGATTTACATAGCCCTAAACTATATTTATTTTTGTAGTATTGAAAACTTGAACTAATCAAACAAGGAAGTAAATGAAATAGAGTTTAAATATTCTTCTCTTTTTTTAATGCAGGGGGTGATAGGACTTTGAGTGTAGATCTATGCAATGAAGACTTCTTTATTTCAGTTTATTTTTACTGATTCCTTTTGAAAAGTTTATGATGGTTAAAAGAGAAAGGTTCAGTGCTGCAAGAATATTTATTATTGTATTCCACAGCTACCCAACAGATATAATATTCCTAATACAGTCTCTGTGTCCCTCTCTGACTTGCTAAGTTGTCATAAGTTTTGTCATCCTGTGTCCTCTGAGTTGATAAGAAATGATAAGTTATGTTATCCTCTGTCCTTCTCTGAGTTGATAAGTTTTGTCAAACTGTGTCTTTCTCTGAGTTAAGCAGTGATAAGTTTTGTCATCCTGTTTCCTTCACTGAGTTGATAAGTTTTGTCTATACAGACTATGTCTTACTCTCATTTGAGAAGTTTTGATAAATTTAGTCTGTATATTGTATGTTATCTGAGTTGATAAGTTTTGGCAATACATAAATGTGTTGTTGTTTTTTTCCTCCGTAGCCCCCTTCCCAGACTTCATCATTTACTCGGACATGGATGCCGATGCCAGACTGGCGCATAGCTGTGCTGCTAGGGGCGAGCTCATTAAAAGATACGTGGAGAAAACTTGTGCGCAGCAGGAGAGCTTGGCTGGTGGCTTATTCTGTTTTAGGTACCGGTATTATGTTGTTTCTGAATTTTTCAATCTGAACCCATTGAAGTTGCTTTTTTTTTTTTTTTTTTTTTTAACAATTTTTTTTGTATTTTTGAAGATTGAAACCTATTGAAAACTAAAAACATTTTTTTTTTTTATTTATTTAAGTTTTTTTTTTTTTTTAATAATTTTTTTTTTTTTTTTTTTAATCTTTTTTTATTTGAAATAACAATATATAAATAATAATTTCAAATGTGGCTGGTTTTTATTTAATAATTGTCAGTGAAGAAAATATGTTTTATTTTAGTCTCGATTTCAATTGTTTTTCCCCCCCCCCCCATATCTCCACAGGGTCTATGTAGAGAGCCAACTGGAGGCAACCAAAGTAAGCCAGGCCTTCATGAAGCAACTGATGGAGGAGTGCAAGTTTCACTTTGAAACATTCTTTGATTTGATCCAAATTCTCAGGGATTTCCTGACAGCCAGGCACAGAGGTCATCCGGACATTGATCACCTGGAGGCCATTCTTCAAGATTCTGTCATACGGCAGGTCCATGCAAAGGTGGGAAATATTTGTTAACATATTGTTTTGTTTTTTTTCTTTTTTGTACCTTAGTCATCTTCTAGAATAGGTTTCAGCAACTTACCTATCCGTTGCCTTTTCATGTTGTACTAGCTATCTCCCAGGTGAAGAAGAGAAAATTTTATTTTTACATCTAGCTAGTGACATTGATCGTCTCAATTAAGTTTAATTTATTTGATCTGCAGGCCACTGAGCGTATTGGTGAGATAGATCAGTACAGAGAGACTTTGGTCAAAAAGTTAGAGGACATCAAGACGCACGCCCTCAAATTAGTAGCTGTTTGTGTGGCTGAAAATTGGTGAGATAAGATTGTACATCTAATTTTTTTGTATTTTTTAATAAATAAGAATAACGACTTTAAAAATGTGACATTCAAAATATAAATTCATGTTTTTTAAGTGTTTATTAATATTCAGACAAGGTTCTAGTCACTCACGGAATATTTTCAAAAAATGTTCTTATGATATTCAGCCAATTTCTTTCTCTATTATGGCTTATTGATTTCCCAATTATGGCATGTATAATGAGTCTCAGGCATCAGGAATTTTTATATATTAAATATCTGAAATATGGATGAATCAATACCAGGGCCATAGATTTAATCAATATTTGACTACGGATGTAATCAATATCAAGACTGTGGATGTAATCAATATCAGGACTATGGATGCAATCAATATTAGGAATATGAATGTAATTGATTCAAGAATTATATATGTAATCAATATAATATCAGGACTATGAGTGTAATTAATATCATGACTAGGGACGTCTCTTGTGTAAAGCACTAGAGTGTACATAATATCATGGCAATGGATGTCTCCTGTGTAAATCACTCAGTGCTTATTGTTGTGTGGCAGTTTCTTAAAGATCAGTAACTACTGCAATGTAGAACTAACCTAAAAAAAATCTTTTAAGATCATTAACTACTGCAATATTGCACTGCACAAACATTTACACAAACAGTTGAGGAACATTACGGTTGATTAAACAAATTTCCCCTTTGTTTCAGTTACAAGAGAATCCAGCACCATATGACCGTCATATTAGGAGTTCAGAGTCGGTTCAGGAGGGACAAAAATGTTAAAACCCAAATGGCTCTGCATGATGAAAATATTCATGGATTTGAGAGGTCAGTAAAATTCAGAGAAGGGTCTTGTGAAAACAGTTGAGAGTTTAGAAATCCCTAAAATTTAATTATAATAAAGTATAGGCCTATACAGATTTTTTTTTTCTTTTTTTAATAAGAAAAGAAACTGTATTAATTAGTATTTAATATCTTCTAAAGAACGGAATTGAGTTTAATTCTTTTTAATGTTCATAACAAGAACAAAATCCCCATTGCTAAACTTTATTAACCCTTTTCAGTCAAGTTATAGCTTTCTAGCCCTAAGGCCCCAGCCTTGTTATGGCCATATACCGCTGAAAACAACATGCCATTTTCAACATTGCCTCGTGAAGGTAGCTCTTCCTATTAAGGAGTTATAAAGTGCCTATTTACAAACAGGAAGTTTCAGTTTCAAGCTCTGGTTTGTGCTTTGGTGGTTGTGCACATGATTTTACGCTACTTTCTCTTTTTTTTTTTAAAAGAGCGTTTTGTTTACAGTAGATCTACTCATTTGTTCTTTCTAGAATGGCTTCAAACTGTCGGCTGTCAGGGTCGGTTGTTATTGTCGACAGTGATAAATTTGATGCAACAATTGATAATGAAAATAAAAGGGATTTTGATATTCAATTAGTTCAACATGAGTCTATATGTGTCAGAAAATTAAGAGGATGTTGACAAATATGACCGGTCTGACCAATTGCATTCAATGGACATTGAACACATCTTTTATGACTGGATTCAAGATTAATAAATTTAAAATTCAACTTATGATCAAAATGGAATTATTTCCCTTTGCTTGGTACTGATTGTAATTTCTTATAGGGTGCTAAGGTACTGGATAGAGTTAACTCTCACTGCTACAGTACTGGAAGGAGTTAAATCTCTCTGCCACAGTAGTGGAAGGGGTAAGATCTCACGAATAAAGTACTGTAAGGGGGCCATCCATAAAAGATGTCCACCATTTTTTTGCTATTTTTTACCCCCCCTCCCCCCCTGTCCACTTTTGTCCACTTTTGACTTGACCCCCCCCCCC